ATTTGGAGTCATAGCTAGGTAGTTTATCTGCACGTCGAAAGCCAAAACGAGAGCTGTCATTAGGCATTTGTGCCCAGTAAAAATTGATAGAGTTTTTTTTGGTTTGGCTTTAAAAAACAGTCTTTCCTGTTTCTTCTGTTCAATTTCAACCACATGTAAATCGACTGCAAGCTGCTCGCAGTAACTTGAGCGACGATTTTTTTTGATATAAATTTTTTGATGTTATATACAGTCTCGTGGTTCAGAGTCACTCTGGAGATATCGTGGTATGTCACATTCCCCACAATTCTGGGAAGCAAACCGGTTATAAGGACATCTTCCATCTAAAAAATTTAGCTGTAGCTCACACCTGTGAAATTTATCAGCTTTTTAAAATGTGAAAAAAAAGTGCAAATAAATTTTATAATCAGATTGTGGAAGGCGGAGAAGAACGGTATAAAGCTGTAAAATATAATACAGCATGAAAAAATTCAAAAGTAAGAATTGCAATCATTACTCTTGAGAAAAGACACTTCTCAGTGGCATTAAATAATTCCGGCACCAACGGTCCTGGAATGATGTACAGAAACCCACAACAAAAGTCGCCATACTTGTCTGAAGGATACTCCTCTTTGCTAACGTACCTGAAAAAGCATAGTTTTCTTTGCCAACTCAGGACTTTAGTCGCACAGTTGACTTAATACAAGCTAGTCGTTTAAGTCTGATTTTTACACAGCAATACCCTGCTAGTATTAACCCCATATGATACATTACAAAACGATCGGCTCTAGCCGAAAGAAACTTTTGCTTGCTTTTCAAGATTCAAGTTAAACAAGAAAACCTTGAGAGGCCAGGTGAGTAGCGATACTAAAGAACAACGATTGGAAAACAGACGACAGTGAGAAGTGAGCTAAAAAGGAGGAAAAGAAACAGAAAGAGAAGGGTCAGCGTAAGAAATAGAAGACTAAAAAACGGCAATTTATTTCAAATTCGTTTGCATATTGACACCCAAAAGTTATTTTTGAACTTTTGAGAGTACCGTTTCTTAGCGTCTACCTTTCTTGGGCAGACAGTTTATTTAATCGAGCTGTTCTGAAGGCCTTTTAATGTTTATTTAGACGTTCTCGTGACTTTGTTTCTATTTACAAATAATTAGAAATTAAAATCGGATATGATAAAGTTGAGAGATAAATCTGCCAAGTATCTGACGTTTCCACGTCTACCATAAGTAAAGAATTATTCACGCAAGCAAATAGGCCCAATAGAGGAACGCAGTCTTAACGCAGTGCGTGATTTACTTAATATATTATTAGATTATCAGAAGGTAATCGTTAGTTTTCTTCTTTAATAAACGTTTTGCTAAGTTTTCACCATTTGGATCGCTTATCACGAGGTACTGTGTCGTTCTTTCCAAGAGTTCCAATTATCATTCTTTTCGGGTCATCACCTTTAGAAGGGTTTTCCCTAATTGCATAAATGAGGGCCACTAAATCATGCAAATTGACCACTACGTCGTCATCAATTTTGATAACGTACTCGACTTTGTTGCAGTATTCAGTGACGAATCTTAGCCACATAACGCCCTGACAAGAGAAATTCATTTATTCCATTTTTTAACAAACTTTTTGAAGCTGGTTCAGAAAGAGGTATAATGTTATAGTCAAAATTTCAGAACTTAATATTACATTACAAAAACTACATTTTGAGCAAACCGAAAAAAATTATTTTAGAAAAATTTTTGCTTATACCTTATAAGATAAAGTTTCGTAAACGTCCCAGTAGTCTTGCAGAATTATATCATTCCAAGTGCTAGCCTCATTTTGCACTCTTATGTACACTGCTTTACTTGTGCTTTTTCCAATACAAAACAGAATCACGACACCAAGCTACAACAGAGAAATTAAAAAATTCTAACATTCCTATTAAAATATAGATTTTGAAACCTACAGATAAACTGCGAAAAGAACTCTACCTCTGAATAAAACTTATCTTTGTACATAAAACGTAAAGCTGCTCGAGCTTTGAAATTTTCAGGAGCGGTATAAACAACTATTAAGATCTTTATATGTGGGTATCTTTCAGTACAGTAGTCATTAGGAAGAACTATCCAGTTGTATCGATATGGTTCCAGCAGAAGTTTGCTCCACTCAGTTTCGGTAAGGTTCATTTTATTCTTTCGTAAAGCATATTCAGCCTAAATTTGATCGAGACTTGAATTTGTAAAACTTCGAACTGAAAATAGCGGTTCTCTTTTAGTTTTAGTAAGTAATGATGATTCCTTAGCAGAATGATATTTGTTGCCTACAAATTGCGTCTTAATCTTTTTTTTCTTTGCAAAAAGAATTCGTGATGCTGGGAAACTAAGAAAGACTCACGATTACCACATCGTTAATATTCTTGTAGTAATATTCAAGATATAGAAAAACCAAGGCTATTTAGGCATTTTAAGCAACATAGAGCAAAAAACAAAAGAAAAAAGTTTAAAACATTGAATTGCCTAATCAACCTTTGGTCTTTCACATTGATGTGAACTAACTACAAGACGCGAATAATATCAAAAGGGCAACGGTTACTTGCCGAACATTACCCACATTTTACAAAAAAATAGCTAAAATGAAGATAGTTTTATGTGCTCTAGCAAAAAATAGCAAACAAATATTCCGCCTACTTTTATTACTCTTTTGTTAGAGGTAAAAATAAGACGTCTGGTGAGTTCATTCAGAAAAAAGTGCTGTTATAAGCAGTTTTATTAAGCAGTTGGCAGAACTTGTAACTAGAGAAAGCATAATGGTACGATTAGAAACAAAAAAACCTCTTTCCTGCTTCAAAATTACACACAAACTGCTAAACGACATTTTCGTATGAAGAAGAGCAAAACTTTGTGCTTTCAAGAGTGGCGTAAACTAAGACGAGGCTTTAAAAAATTTCTTCTGATGAGATCCTGATACTGATTTTTACAGTAGAAAAAGAAGTACAGTAACAAGTAAGCGTTTCACATGCTTTCAACACTCTGTGCGTTATATTGAATTTTCTTAACATCGGGAGCGGCAGTATTCAATAGAACATTAAAGTACTGCTAAAAGTTAAGAAAAAAAAAGTTTTGAACATTACCGTTATATCGAACAGAGGTTCACTTGAATTTGACACACTTGCTCCTAACCACCGCATAAGTTTCATACGCTGAACAGCAACTTTGAAGGAAATTAAGTTTGCTATCAGAAATAAAATTAGAAGAAATGTTACGCACGGTCTTAAAGTTAAAAGCCTCTTCATTTGCCAAAGACTGGTTCCGTTAGAGTAACTGCAAACTAGAACCAAAAAATTCTTGTTTATATTAATTAATTAAAGAGTACAGTACAAACCATGTATCATAACGTCATTTTTCTAAAGATATAAGCAAAACATTTGTTCAATACTTAAAGACTTATATCTGTTTCTCTTTCACTGCGAAAGAAGCAATACAGCAGAATGGCTGTAATAATTTAGTTACAAAGTATTTCCTCATTAAACTTAAAGTTACACGTTCAATCACATTGGTAGATTCCAGGGTACATGCGTTAACGTTTCTTTGGTTTAAGCTCTAGCATCT